ACGTCTACCGTCTTTGTTTGTCACGTCTATCGTCTTTGTTTGTCACGTCTACCGTCTTTGTTAATCACGTCTACCTTCTTTATTTTGTCACGTCTACCGTCTTTGTTTTGCCACGTCTACCGTCTTTGTTTTTCCAGGTCTGGAGTCTTTGTTTGTCACGTCTACCTCCTTTGTTTTGCCACGTCTAGAGTCTTTGTTTGTCACGTCTACTTCCTTTGTTTTATAACGTCTTCCTCCATTGTTTTGCCACATCTACCGTCTTTGTTTGCCTCGTCTACCTCCTTTGTTATGTCACGTCTATCGTCTTTGTTTGTCACGTCTACCGTCTGGTTTGTCACGTCTACCGTCTTTGTTTGTCACGTCTTCCGTCTTTGTTTTGTCACGTCTACCTCCTTTGTTTTGCCATGTCTAGAGTCTTTGTTTNTTGCCACGTTTAGAGTATTTGTTTTTCACGCCTACCTCCTTTGTTTTGTCACGTCTACCTCCTTTGTTTGTCACGTCTAGACTCTTTGCTTGTCACGTCTACCTCCTTTGTTTTGCCACGTCTACCGTCTTTGTTTGTCACGTCTACCGAGTCTTTGTTTGTCACGTCTACCGCCTTTATATGTCACGTCTACCGTCTTTGGTTTCTCACGTCTACCGTCTTTGTTTGTCACGTCTTCCGTCTTTGTTTTGTCACGTCTTCCTCCTTTGTTTTGCCATGTCTAGAGTCTTTGTTTGTCACGTCTACCTCCTTTTTTTTGCCACGTCTAGAGTATTTGTTTGTAACGTCTACCTTCTTTATTTTGCCACGTTTAGAGTATTTGTTTTTCACGCCTACCTCCTTTGTTTTGTCACGTCTACCTTTGCCACGTCTAGAGTCTTTGTTTGTCACGTCTACCTTCTTTGATTTGTCACGTCTACCGTCTTTGTTTGGCACGTCTAGAGTCTTTGTTTGTCACGTTTACCTCCTTTGATTTGTCACGTCTACCGTCTTTGTTTGTCACGTCTACAGTCTTTATTTGTCACGTCTACCGTCTTTGGTTTGTCACGTCTACCGTCTTTTTTTGTCACGTCTACCGTCTTTGTTTGTCACGTGTACCTCCTTTGTTTTGTCACGTCTACCGTCTTTGTTTGTCACGTCTTCCGTCTTTGTTTTGTCACGTCTTCCTCCTTTGTTTTGCCATGTCTAGAGTCTTTGTTTGTCACGTCTACCTCCTTTTTTTTGCCACGTCTAGAGTATTTGTTTGTAACGTCTACCTTCTTTATTTTGCCACGTTTAGAGTATTTGTTTTTCACGCCTACCTCCTTTGTTTTGTCACGTCTACCTTTGCCACGTCTAGAGTCTTTGTTTGTCACGTCTACCTCCTTTATTTTGCCACGTCTAGAGTCTTTGTTTGTCACGTCTACCTTCTTTGATTTGTCACGTCTACCGTCTTTGTTTGTCACGTCTACCTCCTTTGTTTGTCACGTTTACCGTCTTTGTTTGTCACGTCTAGAGTCTTTGTTTGTCACGTCTACCGCCTTTTTATGTCACGTCTACCGTCTTTGGTTTGTCACGTCTACCGTCTTTTTTTGTCACGTCTACCGTCTTTGTTTGTCACGTCTAACGTCTTTGTTTGTCACGTCTACCGTCTTTGTTTGTCACGTGTACCGTATTTGGTTTGTCACGTCTACCGTCTTTGTTTTGTCACGTCTACCGTCTTTGTTTTGTTACGTCTACCGTATTTGTTTGTCACGTCTACCGTCTTTGGTTTGTCACGTCTACCGTCTTTGTTTGTTACGTGTACCGTATTTGGTTTGTCACGTCTACCGTCTTTGTTTTGTCACGTCTGCCGTCTTTGTTTGTCACGTCTACCGTCTTTGTTGGGGGACGTCTACCGTCTTTGTTTTGTCACGTCTACCGCCTTTGTTTTGTTACGTCTACCGTATTTGTTTGTCCCGTCTACCGTCTTTGGTTTGTCACGTCTACCGTATTTGTTTGTCACGTCTTCCGTCTTTGGTTTGTCACGTCTACCGTCTTTGTTTTTTAAGTCTACCGTCTTTGTTTTGTCACGTCTACCGTCTTTGGTTTGTCACGTCTACCGTCTTTGATTGTCACGTCTACCGTCTTTGTTTGTCACGTCTATCGTCTTTGTTTGTCAAGTCTACCGTTTTTGTTGATCACGTCTACCTTCTTTATTTTGTCACGTCTACAGTCTTTGTTTTGTCGTGTTAACTGTTATTTGTAATATTGTGACTACGGTCTTTGTTTTGTCATGACTATCGTCTTGGCTCTTTCAGATACGCCGTCTTTGTTTTGTCTTGTCGTGACTACCGTCTTTGTTTTTTCGTTTCTATTCTCTTTGCTTTATCGTGTCAAACCTATTTGTTTTTTCCTGACTGCCTCCATTGTTTTCCGTGACTACCGATTTTGTTTTGTCGTGTCCACTGTCATTGTATTATAGCGTCGTGTCTACAACCTTTTTTTGTCGTGAATGCAGCCTCTTTTATATGCCAAAGGTCTTTGTGTTGTCCTGTTTACCGTCTTTGTCTCGACTACCGTATTTGTGTTGTCCAGACTATCGTTTTTGTTGTTGTGTCTATTGCCTTTGTTTTGTGGTGGCTACTTAACTTTTTTTGTCCGGACTATCGTCTTTTTTGTCGTGTCTATTGCCTTTGTTTTGTGGTGGTTACTTTATTTGTTTTGTCCACGGTATCGTCCTTTTTGTTGTGTCTATTGCCTTTGTTTTGTGGTGGCTACTTTTCTTGTGGTCGTGATTTAACTTTAAATGCGTTGTTGTGGTAGGGGACTTAACCACTGATAAAAGAGTTTACCTCTTGTGTGATTAGCTGGCCAAGATCCCGGCGTTCGGATTTTTGATCAGTGCCTGCCGAATGTCATTGTCTCTCTATTGTTCCTCTGTACTTTTTATGAGATATTATTGCACAAAAGGAATCAAGCTTTCTATCGATATCTATATTTGTATTTCATGATTTATCGTTTGCAACAAGGGGTTAATTTGGCGATGGGTCGTATGGCCGAAGGTTTAATAAAACAAATGTAGACTGTAAAACTGTATCATTACATGCCTTTGACCCAGGGATGCTTGATAAAACAAGCAAATTCGTGGAATGTATTTCCCCCGCTTTCAGGAGATATTGTAGGTAAACATTATTGAGGTTAGGTTTAAACATGTGAGTATCGTGCTGTTGAGACATAATGTATAGCTTGAAACTCGAAGAAGAAAAAGCCGTATCTAATATTTGCTAGAGTTATTAAGCGGAACCGGCAGATAATGACTCTGCCAAATGGAGTCTGATTAAAGTGGTTGTCAAACTTGGCCGAGCCCTTAATGCGTTAAACACTGTTACTAAGTTTGAAGGCAATCGGATACAATTTGCGAAAGTTAATAAACAACCGGAGGATAATGACGTTTTTCGTTATTCAAGGGGCCATAACTCCGCCTTATAGGGTCCACTGGTCATCAAACTTGGTCGAGCCATTAAGATATGTAACCCTGTGACAAAGTTTGAAGAAAATCGGTTAACATTTGTTGTAGTTATTGCACGGAAACGAAGCGAGGCAGATAATGACGTTTTTCGTTATTCAAGGGGCCATAACTCCGCCAAATGGGGTTCGCTGAAAGTGTTCATCGAACTTGGCCGAGCCCTTAAGGTATTTAACCCTGTGTCAAAGTTTGAAGAAAATCGGCTAACATTTGTGAAAGCGGGGGATAAAAATCGGTCAAGCTCGCTTCAGCAGTTCTGGACGAGAAGAATTCAATGATGCTGCGCCACGGTAGAACCTCACTCGTCTTTTATCCAGGGGAGAGGAAATACCAAAATCTTGCATTTCGTGGATCTTTATAATGGGAATCTGATACTACCTTCACAAAAGTGTTTGTGTTAGTCTTATCAGAGTAGTGCGATCTTGTGGGACGGAGTCAATCCCCCCCCTCTCAATTAGTCAATTATTCACGATTTAATCAAGGCACTGTACCTAGCAATATGATGTATAGAACGACCAGGCGTCGGTCACGTAAGATATTTATTACATAATGTCAGAGATACGTTCACCAAAGATGACGTATAATCATAAATTATAATACATTGAGATATAAGGACTGTTGACCGCTTATATCTTTTAAACGGATTATTGTTTACAAGGCCCTTTACACTCCATTTTTTCATAATTGGGTTGTGTAATGTCAAATACTCAATTAAAATGATTGGTTCACGAAACATGAATACAGGGACACAACTTTAGATAACCAGAGATACTATACATGTTAATTAGGGCGTCAGTATGCTAGACTCTTGCCCTTAGTACATGTAATATATCAAAATAGGTCAGTGTCAGCGGTCCTGCTGGTACAGCCTGTAGCTTACAAGTGTACTTAGTATTGCTTAGGTCACTGACATTATCTGTACTGATCCCGAAAGAATAACCTGATTAACAACTGGAGTTCATTTAATATCAAAATGGGGGAAGTGTCCGCATATACTGAAGAAAGGACGCCATTATTAATTAATAGAGTGCATAGAGGCACGATCAATGAACAAGACTATACCGAACCCACACATCTACAAATTTCCGGAAACGGAAACGATAGTTTACAACAGAATAATATCACAGAGAATACAGGAGAATGTTGTCAGACAGAACCTGAACAACTTCCTGTGGCAATCGGACAGACAAGTTCTCAACACCGGAATGAATGTGATGTGATGGACAAAGGATATTTACAAAAAGATAATGGTCGACAACAGAGCGCGGAAAATGGGGTGGAAACAGAAGAGGCATTGCGTCCGGTGGTTAAGGCTAGAAAAGGAAAAACATGTACCGGCGGTACGTTTTCACAGCGTGTGTACATCTGTTTGGCCGTATCGTTTTACTTCTTTGCGATAATGATGGACGACGAAGCATGGCCGCAGCTTGTCCGTAGCCGTGTCGTGCGGGACACGGGGGCTAACCTGTCACACACACAAGTCGCCGGATGTACAGTGAATTACACAATTTCAAACAACACAACTGTAAAAGTGCAACAGCTAAGTACAACCATCAATACATATTTTCTCATGGCTGCATATATTCCGGCAATTTTTTCAAATGTGATAATCGGTAAGTTGACTGATAAGTTTGGAAGAAAAATCGGTCTTTACTCTGCAATCGTTGGTGCTATAGTGAAATATTCTATAATTGCAGTTTGTATCCATTTCAATTTAAATATCGATATAAGTTATGTTGGTTTTGTTCTTTACGGTCTCTCTGGCACGTACTCTATAATATCACAGACTTCAAATGCTTTCGCTGCTGACATAACAGAGGCAGGAACGGACCGGGCTTTCTTTTTTGCAATTGTTTCCTTCTTCAAGGGACTCGCCACTCTGCTGGGTCAGTTCGCCGCTGGCTATATCATACAATATGTAGGACAATTTTATATATATATTATTGCAATTGGTGCGATGATGTGCGCGTTCTTTACTGTTGCTTTCTGTTTGTCGGAATCTGGTTTTCGGCAACAGCGAAACGGAGATCTCGCCATTCAGCAATGTGAGAGAACGGGTCAGACTTCTGTATCAGAAATGGATTCTAAACCTCCCGACAGATCTAACCGTTCGTTACAGGGTGTGCTCCTAGCCGCCTATATCCTTACGTGTTTACGCGATATGGGATTAAGTACAGTGACGTCTCTGTTCATGTTGGACTCTCCATTCTGTTGGACGTCCGTCCAGATAGGATGGCTATTATCCTTGATCACGGTCTGTAAACTTGTTGGCACACTTTTAGTAGGGCTGTTTCAGAAATGTACTAGTGACGTCATCATTGCCATCATCGGAACAATTACAACTGCAGCGTCACATTCCCTTTTTACATTCGCCTACAATGACGTTATGGTGTATAGCGGTATGTTTTTGAAAAAGCTATATTTGATGCACCAGAAAGTATGTGTAAGTTAAGTTCCATTGCCAATCGTCATAAGCTTGCAATGCAGAGCAATTGTATAAAGCTTTACAACAGCGAATTTACGCACACTTTAAAGCACAGCATTATTGCTTTCCTTTTAATGCCGTTAAAAAATAAATTAAAAAAAATGAAAATATTTTCAAAATAAAAAATGTATGTGTATATTAATAGCCGACGGATATGTTTTAGTGTCGGTAGTGGGTTTTATGGGAGATCTGGGATATCCACTGACCAGTGCCATGTTGTCCGGAGTTACATCGCCAGACCATCAAGGTAATTAGTAGTTTGTTTTTAAATTAAACTTTAGTTATTTTACAACAACTATGAAATAAGTTCTATCGATCACTTCTAATCACTCTCGTTGGCCTGGGTGATATAATGCACAGCAGGGAGTTTAACTGTAGAAGGAAACCGGAGTATTAATATACAACAACAATAAATAATATACAACATTTGATATAGCGCCCTTTCTAGCTAACATAAGCCACTCTCAAGCGTTTTCCAGTACATATATATAAAATTAATACAATTAGCATACACATTAATCAATGCATTTTTTTAGGAATTCGCAGGAGCTGCCTAATCAGTCGCTAACTGCTAGTCCTATGCCACCTGGCTAATATCTCCCTATGTGGGTATGCCTGCATGTGTGCTGGAGATGTAATGTGTTCTGTTTTTAACAGTACCCAGAGGAAAATGCCATGATTTAATTGTCATCATTCATATGTTAAATCAATAATACTCCAGGTTCAGATCCAGGATTTGGAGTTGGGAGGTGGTGTGAGGCATAACGAGGATCAAAGCGCGTATCTTATGTTGAATATTATATCGAAACTAATTTGAGTTACTCCCCTTTGAACGGATGATAGAAACCATCCTCCATACTACAGGGGTAACCTCACCTACGCACTGAGTATCGAGGGTGGGTCTCCACATTCATGAGCACCTTTTTCATCTTTTTAAAAGATATTTCTTGTTTTACAATATTACAATTTTTGTTACTCGACAAGTTTTCTGGGAGGGGATAGTAGAGATTGATCTGTCCTCATATTATGCAATGCAAACAGGTCACTCGATATATCGACAATATAAACGGACGTATATATATATGTTACAGGTTTTCTTTTTTCCTTACTGGGTATGGTGGAGAGTGCGGGAACGCTGTGTAGTGGACTCAGTCTCAACACTTTGTACTCCGCTACGGTAGGGTGGATGAAGGGATTCGTCTTTCTGCTCACGACCGTTCTCTGTCTTCTGTGTGTTCCGTTTTATATGTGAGTACAAGAAGATAATCTAACGTGTTCGCATAAGACGTGTAAACGTCTATTCCGATTCAAAATGTTAACGCAAAAACTTCTTTTTCCATTCAAAATATTTACGCATCTACCACTATTCCCATTCGAAATGTTAACGCAATAACTTCTATTCCCATTCAAAATATTTACGCATCTACCACTATTCCCATTCAAAAGGTTAACGCAATAACTTCTATTTCCATTCAAAATGTTAACACGAAAACTTCTTTTTCCATTCAAAATATTTACGCATCTACCACTATTCCCAAAAATGTTAACGCAAAAACTTCTATTTCCATTCAAAATGTAAACGCGTAAACATCTATTCCTATTCAAAATGTTAACGGGAAAACTTCTTTTTCAATTCAAAATGTTAACGCATCTACCACTATTCCCATCCAAAATGTTAACGCAAAAACTTCTATTTCCATTCAAAATGTAATCGCGTAAACAACTATTCCCATTCAAAATGTTAACGGGAAAACTTCTTTTCCCATTCAAAATATTTACGCATTTACCACTATTCCCAAAAATGTTAACGCAAAAACTTCTATTTGCATTCAAAATGTAAACGCGTAAACATCTATTCCTATTCAAAATGTTAACGGGAAAACTTCTTTTTCAATTGAAAATGTTAACGCATCTACCACTATTCCCATTCAAAATGTTAACGCGAAAACTTCTTTTTCGATTCAAAATGTTTACGCATCTACCACTATTCCCATTCAAAGGGTTAACGCAATAACTTCTATTTCCATTCAAAATGTTAACGCGGAAACTTCTTTTTCCATTCAAAATATTACGCATCTACCACTATTCCCAAAAATGTTAACGCAAAAACTTCTATTTCCATTCAAAATGTTAACGCGGAAACTTCTTTTTCCATTCAAAATATTACGCATCTACCACTATTCCCAAAAATGTTAACGCAAAAACTTCTATTTCAATTCAAAATGTTAACGCGTAAAGAACTATTCCCATTCAAATTGTTAACGCGAAGACTTCTATTTCCATTCAAAATGTTAACGCGAAAACTTCTTTTTCCATTCAAAATATTTACGCATCTACCACTATGCCCATTCAAAATGTTAACGCAAAAACTTCTATTTCAATTCAAAATGTTAACGCGTAAAGAACTATTCCCATTCAAATTGTTAACGCGAAGACTTCTATTTCCATTCAAAATGTTAACGCGAAAACTACTTTTCCCATTCAAAATGTTAACGCATCTACCACTATTCCCATCCAAAATGTTAACGCAAAAACTTCTATTTCCATTCAAAATGTTAACGCGGAAACTTCTTTTTCCATTCAAAATATTACGCATCTACCACTATTCCCAAAAATGTTAACGCAAAAACTTCTATTTCAATTCAAAATGTTAACGCGTAAACCACTATTCCCATTCAAAATGTTAACTCAAAATCTTCTATTCCCATTCAAAATGTTAACGCAAAAATTTCCATTTCAATTCAAAATGTTAACGCGTAAAGAACTATTCCCATTCAAATTGTTAACGCGAAGACTTCTATTTCCATTCAAAATGTTAACGCGAAAACTACTTTTCCCATTAAAAATATTTACGCATTTACCACTATTCCCAAAAATGTTAACGCAAAAACTTCTATTTGCATTCAAAATGTAAACGCGTAAACATCTATTCCTATTCAAAATGTTAACGGGAAAACTTCTTTTTCAATTGAAAATGTTAACGCATCTACCACTATTCCAATTCAAAATGTTAACGCAAAAACTTCTATTTGCATTCAAAATGTAAACGCGTAAACATCTATTCCTATTCAAAATGTTAACGGGAAAACTTCTTTTTCAATTCAAAATGTTAACGCGAAAACTACTATTCCAATTCAAAATGTAAACGCGTAAACCACTATTCCCATTCAAAATATTAACGCGAAAACTTCTTTTTCAATTCAAAATGTTAACGCAATAACTTATATTCCCATTCAAAATGTTAACGCGAAAACTACTATTCCAATTCAAAATGTTAACGCATATACCACTATTCCCATTCAAAATGTTAACGCAAAAACTTTTACTTCCATTCAAAATGTTAACGCGTAAACCACTATTTCCATTCAAGTTGTCAACGCGAAAACTTCTATTTCCATTCAAAATATTAACGCTATAACTTCTATTCCCATTCAAAATGTTAACGCGAAAACTACTATTCCCATTCAAAATGTAATCGCGTAAACTACTATTCCCATTCAAAATGTTAACACGCGAAAAAGGAAACGCGTTTAATTACTACTGCGTTATATTTTCAAATGGACGGTTGTTCATAGTCGGCGGTCCCTTTTACAGTTTGCTCTTATTATGCTATTCGAAAGAACAATGAAGAGAGGTGTATATGCCATTTCCAGACACCTTTTCAGTAATTATAATGAAACACCATTCATAATCATATATCTTTTTTTTTAAATATTAAAAACTGTGCTCAACATATGTTTTTCTGTCACATGACAACAGTAATAACACAATGTATCTTATGTTATAGTTATTATCTAGTTGCCTCCAAAGTTAGGCTGGTTAGAAGTCAACAACATTAAAACTGTGACGTCATGTTTAAAGATTAACAATTCCCGAAGTACACCGACTCGGCATCGCAAGTGACATTCATCGAGAAACCGATCTACGTGACGTCTGTCTAAATCATGACCCCGAAGTGATATTTAGGAGACTAATTCCTGACGTACGTGTAGATGTACGTAAGTCGGTCACACGAACTTCATGTTACTGTACGTTTAATAACCAAAATAGTTTCATCGATGTTGTCACCAACCGGGATTAAACCTGTAAGGACTCAAAGAGACTAAAGTAGTCAAAGATCACGTTACAGGCCCCTGTGTATGGGTCTACTCCACCGGACATTACAATCCAAGACAAATAAGAGTTTATATATGTAACAAGTTATCGCGGCTTGCTGTGTCCAGTGACTTGCCCATGAAACACAGAATAAGGCTAATGGGAGTCCCGTGCTGTCGGCTTCCCAAAAGACCATGATGAAGTACCATCTATGGAACCAAAGCATATATCATAACATTTACGGTAAAATAGTTTATAACGAAGCCTACGGGGACCATACATGTAATAAAAATTTATGACAAAACGGTATGAAACATTTATATCCTTATATTAATTATCTGGTTCCAGTTTTACAATCACTTTCACTTACGATTTTCTGTAGGAGCGCAATCATCAAGCTTCGAATTAGAAACGATGCTTTCTTGTATCAAGCTCAGATCCTTGCGGAACACCAAAGGCAAGAGGTCTGTCATCAGAAACACCGTTACTTAATGTCACTTGTTACCTAGTGTCCGTCAAATAGGACTGGATCCAGAAGTACGTCAGCAGCTATATCACATGGATGTCCCCGGCGCCTGAACGATATCCTATGATCAATGACATCAAATGTAGCCGATGATACAGTAGCAGAAGAACTGGAAAATATGTCGAACTCTGAAGTGAGTGTATGTCGAGCTACCTGAGCGTTAAGCAGGTTGCCTGGTTAACATCGAGATGCTTCTCAAGTCGCTTGGAAACCGCTTTTTCAGGAATATCATACAAGATAGTTCGAAACCGATCGGTAGTTCTTCAAGTTGTTCTTGTGTAAACAATAATTTTACAACGGTGGGCGAATACTGGACTCGACCAAATATTTGTTAATGATGGAGCTAATCAGATACTTTACAAACTATACATGTACATTGTATTTTGGAAAAATACGTTTGGACAAAACCAAGTTCACAATGTTTAGTTAGAGTCATGACATTTATACCGAACAAAAAGAGTTTTACCAAGACGTCCGTTTTTAAAATTTATTATTTTCTCGAACTGAAATCTTTGGAGATTATATCCTCAGAAATATAACTCTGGCGGGAAGAAAATGTCTGATTTCCGACGTACCGTCACTGTACCCAAATCGAGACAGTACCCAAAACGGGACACTTGTGAGAAAACGGCCCGATAAACTGTCCTTCAATGCAAAGAAGTACTTTTATGTATACAGTTTTATTTGATAATACCTTTCGTGACAATTAAACTGAATAAAGCTTTATTGGCTGCTGATTGTCGTTACATGGACAATTCAAAGGTAAGAAAAATTACCAAAACAACACTTTCCTGATTTACGTGCCTTGCGACGCTTTTTATTTGGATATCATATTCAAAGGTCTATTTTATCAAAACTAATACTAGTTTGGAGAAGAAATGTAATCAGAACCCTCGTTGACTCTAAAATATTTCAACAATGCATATTTTTGCCTATATTGATCGTTTATTCCCAAATATTCGCCAAAAATACCGGAAGTGTCTCTTTCAGGATACAGTAACGGCGGTTCAAGGTCCTACGTTACTCTGATGGTATTTCGCGTTCTTTTTATAGAACCACGCGCCCAAAATATCAAACTGTGATGGGAATGAAAAGTGGATAGTATCTATTTATGAAAAATGAACAAACATTTTTGAAACTGTCACTATGGTATAAAGAAAATTGACATGTATCTAAAAAGTGTCCCGATTTGGGTACAGTGACGTTACCAACTCTCTGGTGATTCTTTGGGTTTGCTAATGGTCTCCATTACTTTAACAAAGTGACATTCGGCACAGAAAAATATCAATGTCTCTGAAACGAGGCTTTCTTTCATGACAATGCAGACCACTAGAAAGATATTTCCATACACATAAGAGGGTCTATGATGGAAGGATTGCTCTGGATGAAGGACTAGCATCACCAGCAATAAAGATATAGGTAGCCCCATTAACATGCTGGACATACATACTCTGGACGTTCCAGTAACTCCTAGAACCCTGAAACGTCTGCATCATATTCCCACATTGTATTTGTAGAGATTCCTTTCCGAATTTTAAGTTAATTTGTAGAAAGTTTACTTATCTGAAGTGTAAGAATGCTCTTTTGTGTTTGCATGTGGGTTGTAAGTGTAAGAATTTAACTGAAAATGTTCCCGTGAGTGTGAGAATGTTCACATACATGTATGTTTAAGATTGAAAATGTTCTCACAAGTGTGAGTTTGGAACATTACCAATGTTTTAGTACAAGAATGTTTCGCAGGTCAAGTCAGAAAATGCACCAATGTGAGGAAGTTTACACAAGTTTGAGAGAGAGAATGTTCCTATGTATGTTTTGAATGTGAGAATGTTACAAAAGGTGTGAATGTGAGACTGTTCCCATATGTTGAATGTGAGAATGTTCAAGTGGTTTGAATCTGGGAATGGTTTTATAATTTTAAGTCTTCGGATATTGACAACAACTCTGTTTTCTACCAATAAATCAATGAAGAAAATCAATAAATACCAACACTTTATTATATACACAGACGGTGCCTCAGGATTTACCATCACCTTTATCATCACCCGTGACCTTGTCATCTGTGACCTTTGTATCGTCCTTGAGCTTTTCAATGTCCTTCGTCAGCTCACTCAGTCTGTCAAGATCCTTGAATGAAAAGTCCTGACTGCCTCTCTCTACTGGTTTAGGCTAAAAATACAAGGGAAACGATGATAACAAATTACTCCGTTTAGCAGTTAGCTTATTACCTCCCCTTATCCAAATTTTGTTAATACAACAACTTAAAATTATTATGTATCAAATGTCATTGAATTATGGATATGCAATATGTCTGTATAAAGCAATGCATTGTTCTTAACATGATTGTTCTTTTTTGTTTAAATGAAACATAAATACAGTTGCTTATTTAGGCTAAACAAAAAACGTGTTTGTTTCCCGTAACATGTCTGAAAAAATAGGCAGGTAGGTAATAGGTGTTTTTTTTGTTTTTTTTTACAAGGTTGATATACCTTTGTAGGAGAGTAATCTTGACATTAATAGTGCTTCCCTGATAATCGTCAAAAGGTTAGAGTTTGCACAAAACATTAGGGTAGGTAGGGTTACCAGAAACAAACAACATGTTTTAGTTGGCCTGACCATAGTATCAGTATTACCTGGGAGGGGTCAGGTTTCCATCCTATAAAGTTTAGCACCTGAAATGTGGCAGGTACACCTTCCTCATCCCCATACATATCTGTAGAAACAATAACACAACAGTCTTACTGGAACTGGGGACATTTGTGTTCCATACAAATAATCGTACTGTGACAGTCAGAGCCCACACACAAATAAGGAAGACTGATATACCTTCTGATGTAATTGGAGTGGCTAAAACAGAAGTGGTTATTTTCTGAACATGCATCTTGTCCTCATTTACCTTAGTTTTTTATGACGACACAACTCCTAGGAAGTTCAGATCTAAACTGTTAGTGTTACAATATGGGAGATGAAATGTCTTAAGTGACATATTTTGCAAATGGAAAAAGCTGATGTACATTGAAAGATCTACATCAGATAGGTTTTTTCTGCTTTTCTGATGGGCAAAAACTCCAAATAGGAACCTTATGTTTATGTGACTTCTGTTTCAGTCTCCTGGGTCCTAGTAATAGCATGTTACAGTATGATAACTGTACAGCTGAATAACAGGAAGAAGTGAAAACTGTACAGCTGTATAACAGGAAGTAGTGAAAATTGTACAGATATCTTCATCACAGTAATAAAGCAGTTGTCAGCATCATAATGAAGAGAGTTCATACCCTGATAAATGGCTGCTGCAGCTTGCATTGTGTCTCTGTGTAGCGACGGTCTACGTGACCATGAACAGTTGTTTTCTCCCATACCTGAAATTAAATATCAACATATGTGATGTCTTTACTTGACTGAAACAATGAGGTAAGGCTTACTGAGGTAAACCCAATTCTATCTCAATCCTTTCAGAATTGCTTTCCATGAATATTGTAACATTTCTCTGATTTGACCCTTATTCACTTTGAGGATCCTGGCCTTTCAGACAATGACCTGAGATTGTAACTTTCACCAAGGCGGCCGTGGTTCGATTCTCTGATCGGGCGTGAAAGGTATAGGGTCACTGCAAGACCACGTGGGTTTTCTCTGGGTACTCTGGTTTCCTCCCACATTTAGACCCCCGCACGCTAAAATCTGGGCCAACGAGAGTGATTCATGTAAGTTGAAATAATTTGTTACATAATTTTTGCAAAATAAATGAAGTTTATATATAAAGGCAGCTCACCTTTGAGGTCCATCATCAGCTCAAACATAGATGGGTACTTGATCGTGAACTCATCAGTATCCTGTAAAATAAAAAGGTCGCTGTAATAATGATAGCTAAAAAGGTCGCTGTAATAATGATAGCTAAAAAGGTCACTGTAATAATTATAGCTTAAAAGGTCACTGTAATAATGATAGCTAAAAAGGTCACTGTAATAATGATAGCAACAAACAAAGAGACGACAGGAACTTCAAGGAAATATCACAGTGTAATGTTCATCATCTTCTGGGAATACAAGAATAACGGTTTTAATCAAACACCACAATGTAATGATGTGGAAGGAGAAACAATATAGATATACAAATTGTCATCAATCACACATCTTGGTGAAAGGAGAAATAATTTTGATATCAGATTTCAATCACACAAAACAAACAAATCTAAATAAACAACTTGTAATCAGCTACTAACAAAAGTAATTGGAAATAGTCACAATACCTTGACTTTTCCTTTTTCCAACCCCAAGATAACTGTTTCATTTGGCAGTATTTCCTTCTTAAATGTCTTAGAAATACTATTTAAAAAAAGGTTTGATCTTGCATGGGACCCACATCTCATTTGGGACCCCTAATCGTGTCTGGGACCCCACAACTGGTCTGGGACCCCCACATCATCCCCAGAGACCCAGCAAATTGTCTGAGACTCCTCATCTTGTGGGATCAAACATCTCATCTTGGACCCCACACCTCGTCTGGGACCCCATTGGATAAGTCTCTGGATCAGCCACTGAAGAAGGCCTAACAATGGACCTGAGTGGTCCTGTAGTAGAGGAAACAGGTGTATTGTGACTTTTCTGACGCTGCAGAACCTACTTACCAGTGTTAGCATGGTGAAGCCAGCTCTGTTCAACAGATTACCAAGGTCCTGGGCACTGGTAAACGGGGAAATATGTGGAGAAAATCCCTGTAAAGAGGACACAATTAATATAGCACACGAAAAACTTGAATGCTGATGTCAAGTGTACATGTATCTGGAGTTCTGAGTATCGAGTACCACAAAAAGTACGAACCCCATTAATCTGGCTTTGGATACAAGAATCATCTTCCTAAATTTAAAGTTAATTTAATTTTATCACACAGATGGAATAACTGAATTCAAAGATTTTGAAAAACTTTCACCACAGAGTATTCATGTTACTGGTGTCTGCTTATCAACCCCTACATCTCGACCTTTAACTGTTGTGACCTTAAGAATGTCACAATCAATGTCATAATCATGAAAGTGGAACAAAGACATGTATAAATGATGTACTTATTTACAAACTGTTGTCTAATTACAAGCCTTATTTGTTTAATACCCATCACATGCCATTTATAAAAGGTTTGACGACTAATTTAAACATTTACTCCTGGGTAAATGGTCATCGAATACAAAATGTGATGTTTGTGGAGTGATATTTTGTCATCTTAACAAAACAATTTTGACGTCTTGATATCATCATTGTTATACAAATATCTAGTGTTTATATACCCACCCCTTCTCTCTCTGTCTCAGCCAGTTGAAGTGCAACACGGAGCTCAAAAGCCGTGTCTCCTCCATACATACAGCCAAGGAACACACCATCATTCTTCAATATTCTGTTTACCTGTAAATAAGTTCACAAGTATAGTGAAACCTGTATAATCTGACCCCTGCATATTCTGTGTACCTGTAAATAAGTTATCAAGTACACTGAAACTTGTATAATCTGACCACTGAGTATTCTGATATACTGTCTCATCCAACATGCTGCTGTACTCGTGTCAGATTAGAGATGGGTACATGTTTTGCATATAGTTAAAAAACTACATTCCATATTGATCAAGTACACAATGCTTTTCCAGTGGCATCTATAGCAATACTTTTTGTTTCAGGAGTCATGTTTTTATTCAAAGGGGCATAACTCTGCAAACACGCTTCTATTTCATACTTAGACATATCACGCATATATTGATTGTGTAAAACCTTTCACTAAAATAAATACAGTATTTTAATAAAATGGCAAGAACATGTTTTTTTCGTAATAAAAAATGGCATAACTATAAAAAATAATGTTGTGTCAATGGAGACAGAAAGGAGATGTAGTCTAGACAATGTTGTGTCTATGGAGAGAGAAAGGAGATGTAGTCTAGACAATGTTGTGTCTATGGATAGAGACAGACAGACACCCTGATTACAGTGTACCTCCCTAAATTTGTTGTAAGGGTATAATAGTGACGGTGAAAAGTCAGGAGTCTCTTTACAAAATATGGAAATATGGCAAAAAAGTACAGCTTTGAATCAGATTATGTTTGAGGTCAATTAAATCATTTCTAACGTTAATCAATGAAATTTCTGTTATAAAGATGTGTCAAACCCAAATGAAACACACATTAAGAATTAACCTCCCTAAGGATGCCATTTTGTTTAGGAAAAAATATTTAAGCCATAACAAGATAAGCCCATGCTTCAATTCCCTGTATCAAGTGAGGCTGGAAGTGACTAATTGAATTGATGAAGACATTCTAGAAAAGATAAATGTTCCAATGTTACCAGTAGGTAGTAGGATAAAACAAAGTCATTAAAAGAACTTACCTGTTTAAAGCAACCAGGAAGATCATTAACCCAATGTAAACTGAAACACAATAACATTAGTTGAGGTGTTTATACTGTACTCTGTACAAATTTCTGTAAATATTCATTATTTGAGTGTCAAATCCATGAGATAAGATTCAGGGATTCAATGAAAATAGTATATTACAACAATATATTATTATCAAAATAATAACAAGACTAAACATTAACTTTGACTTATTTGTCATACTTTTTGCATCCATAGGCCAGTTAATCAGGATGCTAAAGCATGACTTAACATTGTACCTGGAACTCATACAGCAGTACACTGTAGTTCAATATCCACAAGTTCAAGGCATTGAACTTTGTAGATTAGTGTGTACATAATCGTATATAATGTAGTATTCAAACTTCATAACCTTCACGTTTGACATTCCAGCAAATTTCAAACAAACTACCTTTGACCTCATGACAGGCAAGTGCAGGTGTCACTTTTAACCTTATGACACGCCATAACACTTATAATAAATGATAGAATAGCACAAAATGTCTTTGTTGATCTTACCAATTTCCATTTCCAACTTGGACATGGTACAATGTATTGGCTTCTTGCATTGTAGCACACAGTTTAAGTATGACTTTAAGTAAAAGTATGACTCGAAAAATATACAGAAAATGTAGCTTATAACCAGCTTTACCTCAGTGAGCTGAATACAATGTCTGCAGATTTGTGTTCAAATGGAAGAAATTCTTCATCCACCACCATCTTTGTGGTTGGAACTTCTGATGATATTTCTGCTTGTGCCTATTTGAAAATTCAATTTTTGCTGTTACAAAGTAAATCTATAAGTGCTTGTGAATTTTAAATTTTGCTATTTACCTATCTCAAACCCTCAAATGTTTTACCATCAAGTTGTAACCGAATAAAATGTAAACACACATACTGACGATAATTCTGTTTAGATCTTTACTTCATATGCTGTATATATATATATGGCAAGCATACCCTACACTTCAACGGCATTCAATTACACAAACTACCCAGTACTAGGTGACTAACTGAAAACACATTTGTAAAAGATACACCTGAGTACAAAGTGTAGCAAAACTAGACTGGAAAACGGAAGATTCTCTAGTTACATGTGCCCCTATATACGTACCAGTAACTTCTCTGATGAGTCACACATATAGAGTTTTTCCACCATGTCTGCTAGCAGGTGTCTGGACACATACCCTCTCCCACAGCCCAGATCTATAGCCAACTTAAACTTTCTGTTAACACAAAGCACATGTAATATATTTCATTACAAATCAAACATTTGACCAATTCTTCAAGTAAAAAAGAAAATATTTATCCTGCATTCAAGATAAATATCAGTCATTTTAAACTCTAAATCATTCACACTGAGGTCTGGGTGTGAAGGGTCACCACTCAAGGTCTGGGTGTGAATGATCACCACTTCAAGTCTGGGTGTGAACGGTCACCACTGTAGGTCTTGGTGTGAATGGTCAACGCTCCAGATCTGAAGGTGAACAGTCCCCAGAGCTCTCAGTATGACTGGTTTCTTGATCTGCTGTGAATTAACATACAGTTCTTAGGTCTGGGTTTGAATAGACACATGACCTTGGTGTGAATGATCCATAGGTCTGAGTGTGAACAAACAAAACTGTGAGTCCCAAGGTTTGGTTGTGAAAATTCCTAGTTCTGGTTCTGAAAGGAACTTCAGTCTCAGTGTAAATAGTCTCTTGGCTGTTTTGGTGCATTTTCATTTACATTTAGATACCATTCAATAAATGTTTGTTTATTGGTTATATCATTAGTATCTAAACTTTGTAGAGAATGACAATCAAGTAACATCCTTTCCTTAATCCTGTCCAGAGTTGTAGGCCTAAAATTCTGAACAGGACTGCAGGAAAACTGTATAATGCATATTGATGACATAGTCAGATTACCATGCAATAAAGCTATAAAATGACCAAAATGTAAATATTTACCTTTTTACATCACACATTCTGTCAAAGAGTCTATAGCCAACCTGAAAAATGTAATTTTGAAAATATGATTTTTAAAAAATAATTAGAAATTGTCAGCAAATCCAGTGGAACATGACTTAGAATTTTTTTTCAATTTAATAATAGAACTTGTTATTGAAGAAAGTACATGTAGATTTTTGGAAGTGGGTCAGGGTAAACATTCTAGCATATATATTATTGTAGTAGGATTTTTTACTATAGTAAGTGCAAGTGTAAATATACTCAAAATGAGTTCCACTGTACACTTAAGAAGAAGAAGTGCTGATCTGGATCCGTTTGCTAAAAGTATTGTTTTTATCAGAAAAATGACATTAGGTCACATGTTTTTTTGCTAGCAGAGAAAAGGGCTAGCCCGAGTTTCCTCTGGCCCCGACACCAGACTTTTTTGACAGATAACTTAGATGTCTAGTGTAACATCTATCTGTCAAAATGAAAATGTCTAAAGTCTGTCTGCCTGGTGTCAGGGCCATGTAGAGGAAACTTGGGCTAGGAAAAGGGCGCGTGTGTATATTTTACCTCTTCTTTCATATAATCGTAAACTTCATAATCAGGTAAAATTGTTGTCCTGTCTTTTTGAATTCGCTTTGCTTTTCTATCAAAAACTGTCATGACATTCTCTGGTCGGTCGGCACTCATACTGCGCGATGCATTAACCAAGTGCGACCTTCGAGTGGAGGGCACTCGACACCTTAGGGACGCATATATGCTCCATGACCGCCTCAGCAGTGGTGCAGACGTCATATTTCTAAACACTTAGTTTGTTGATGACATAAACAGAATGCAGTCCCTCCCATGTGTCGCTCAACCATAAATTAGGAAGGATTTTTCATTTCTTAGAAGGCTAATGACTCCTGCCTACGAACGGTGGCATCCATCTTCGAGGCTCGCACATGTAGATTATGCCGTTAGTTGATTGGCTGAATAATACAAATTGTCTATTTTTAACCAAACACGTTTTCCATGTAAACAAGTTTTTTCACAATATCACAGAGTAAAGACAAAGACATGAAATAGAGATCACAGTTGAAAGTTATATCCACATGTATATTATGAATCTTTTGATTTGTAAAATTAATAATGAAGTTTTGACTAGTTTTTGTAATCTTAAATCAAATGTTCCCCAGTCGAAATATTAAAGTAAAATTACGCCAATTGATTTGAATTATAATTGAATGCCACCTGAAAGCAGCTCAATTAATAAATATATCCTCGATACATAATTCCATGACCAATAAGTTTAGTTCAAAGCCCTATCAGCTTAAAAAATTGTTAAAATGCAAAATATTGATATACTTTTATTCAAAACAGAAGGTCTAAAGGGTCAGTATACGCTCACTCAGATATTTAAGCAACACTGAATTATCAAAAGAATTGTTAAAATAAGTTATTTTTCAAATAAGATCCCAGGGATATATGCTAGACCCCGCAGCCGATCCTGGTAGCATTTAAAAAAAAATGTTTGTTTTAATCTTCATGTTTAGCATCGCCATTGGGCGGAGATCGATCCCTACTGATTGATGCGGTGAGACCATGAGACCAGTCTTGGTAGCATATCTGTATTAGAACTTTTCATTAATAAGCTTAAAGATATATGGTTATAGGGTGGGGATCTCAATAGTTTCAAATTTGTGCCCAAGGGACTAAGTCCCTATATATAATGATGTTTTAAGACCCCGGGATTAATTCATATATCATGATTGTGGTCCTCTCTTCATTTCCAGCAATTATATAGGCCTATTTGTATATGATTATGGGGTAGGGATCTCAACAAGTTCAAAGTTATGATCCAAGGACTAAGTCTATAAGTGTGGGACCAGACCCTGGTGCCATCATAGTAGCATGTTTGTATTCATATATTTATGTTCAAAATTGTATATTTGGTTATATGGATGGGGTCAAACACTATCTAAGTTGAGCCCCGGGGGTAAGCCCTACAATTTTTACACTTTTGAAGCACACACCCGAGAATGTATGCAACCAAATATGACTGATATTGGTCTCCCATTTCAGCTTCAGTGGTGGGGTTTGGGGGTTCAGACTTCTTTTTACTATTTAAAATCCCCAACCAACCATCCGAGAATATCTATCTCTTCCAGTGAAGTCGCCGCTATTATCCAGAACAATACACATTAACCATTTTCTCTGCCACCATTCGATACTCATCCGGAGCAACATGCATAAAAAAGTTCAAACCAATATACGGGAAAACATGCATCCGAAACAAAATTTTCAATCACCGAGTTTCGAAACAGCATACATCAAAAAAGGTTTCTATGGACTACCTTATCCAGACCACACCAATGTTTGTAATCAAACGCTGTTGGAAACTAATCACGTAATCCTGACGCTGTACGGTAATATATTACTAGGACTAGTAATCCTGATACACTATCTGTGAAGGTATGTTACAATTCACAATTCTGGTATAATTCCGAAACGAAATGTTGAAGCACATGTAGAACTAGTTTGATGATATCGGGCCGATCGCAGATTTTATACCATCAGTTTGTGTGTCGGTAGTGGAACAACTGCACGCTTTGTGTTAATTTGCTGGCATTATTCAAATAAGTTATTGTTATCATAACCAAATAGTCGAGTTGATATTTTTAATTTCTACTTGTTTGTTGCTTCGACACTAATATGCAATTACGACAAGACTGGCACCAGTCCCTCAACCGCCTTTTATAGATGTAAAAGAAGTCAATATTTCCCAATAATTCTGGCTTACAAGTTTGACGCTCTACCGAATGAGTGAGCTAAACTGAAATTCTTCCGAACCGAGTCGGTAGGAATCGGCTAATTTCTTAATTACCAGGGTGACATAGGAATGTTAGTTTCAACTATTTCTGCATCTCGTGCAGGGTTTGTAGGCCAAAAAATGTCAAACACTGTATGTCACTGGGCTCCAACGATCTATGGTCTCCACAGAGGAATCATGGTGATCTCCTTTAAACTCTCTAACCTGTCTGTGTCTGATTTTAAGAACGAACCCAATATGATGCACCATATAAATGTACGCATTTTTTTTGCTGGATATTAAGTAATGGCACAGGCTTCTCAATAATACCAGCATAGAACTTGCTTGTTGCTGCTGCTACTTCTGCTGCTTCGTGACTCCATCTCTATGGTAGGACGAGACACAAACATCAGGAAGGACAGCTGTCCTACCATGGAGATGGAGTCACGAAGCAGCAGCAGCAACAGCAGCAGCAGCAACAAAAACAACAACATTGTTTTCATAACCGGTTGGAACCGGTTTGAGTATTTATAAACGTGATGCAATCAGACCGCTACAAATAGATGCAGTCAGGAAAACCCCAAATACATGAGAACCCCCTATGACATCATCGATCGGTACCCCCCTCGTATATAGGTTGTCGCTACAAATAGATGCAGTCAGGAAAAACCCAAATACATGAGAACCCCACTGTGACGTCATCGATCGGTACCCCCCTGCCGAAGTGGGTTGCCACTTGGGGGGGGGGGGGGGGTTCAGGGAGGTGGTAAGGATTATATAGGGCAGTGCACTCAATGACCCTGGCCCAAAAGCGGCACTTTTCTATTGCTGATCTGCATGGTGATAAGTAAGAAGTTGTTTCCTCGGGGACGCTTGGAGCGTAAAAGGTGTGACTAATTCCACAGCTATTTTCTTCACACTCAAACCGAGTCTGGATCAGCTACCTTATGTGGACCAAGTCTTCCCCATAGCGTCTAAGTTACCAGGGGCGTAACAAACGGGTTTTCAATGTGTAAGCCCAACGATGAAGTGTGCTGCCGAAGGCAGCACCCTGAAGCGCGTAGCGCGAGGAGGGGGAGGGTATGGGAGGGGGTTTTCCGCCTCCAATTGGTGGGGGTCTTGGGGGTCTCCCCCAGGAGAATTTTGTTTTCTAGAACACATGAGAC